GATATGAACGTGATTCAAGGAGTCACCTGGGAGTGTCATTTCTAAGTGTCTCCAGTGGGACTGGCCTCAAGTAATCCATAAGCAATTATTCTGGGGAGACAACAGACAGGCCTGTCATATCCGTTCTCTACACTGCAAATGCACTCAGGCAAGAACAAACGATGCTGCAGGCGCACACGCACCAGCTCGCACACTTTTACACATACATAAACTAATATGTATCTTCCTCTCACCTTCTCTGCCTCACCCTCTTTTCTTTATTCACAAACACACCCAATCACACACCTACTCTCTCCACTTTATCTTGCTCACACAAACAATTTTCCTCCTCTATGGTCCTCCATATTTTACTGGAGCTTCCTCTCTAGGTTATAATAAAAAGATCTTATTTTTTTGGCAAAAAAGATAAAGCAAAACCTGTACAGGAGAAAAATTACACCAATAAAACATTTTTAATTGTTTAACAAGTGCAATTTGCATTAATCAAAATATGTTATAAAACAGGGATGTCACTTGAGTGTCAGACATAACTTGTAAGAAAGGAAAATTACAAAGGTTTGTGTTTACCAGCCTTTCATTTTATTATTTATTATTACGACTGTGTGTCATGGTTTCAGTTGTTCATATTCCTGCCTTTAAATTAAAGTTTGGTTTTCATTTGAATTAATCTGTGATACCAGCATTAGTTTTGTTGATTTGATAAATCGCTTTTTTCTTTTCTACCTGACTGCCCCCTGCCTTTCGTCTGTGTGTTCATCTCTCTGAACTAACCTTTCAAATTGTGTTTCTGATGCAAGTCAATCTGCTCTGAATTTTCAAAATAAATGAAACACATCCGTGTCCTCGCTGGTCTACCCAAAAGTTCTGGCTTTATTTAGTCAAGAGAGCAATGAGCGGCAATATTTCCTCTGCTTGGTCATTCCCCCTGCTGATCTCCTTTATATATAGTTCTTACCAATTACTGGTGCGCTCAAAAGCCCGTCCCAATTTGAAGTGCAATGAATTATAGTCTCTTAATTAGGCAGCAAGGCAGTAAAAGCATGGCTGTCCACGTTTGTTTCAACCTGATTGAAGATTTTATGATTGTGAAGAGCAAACTAATTGGATTCCTGACTGGTTGGCTGAATGAAATTGCTCCCGAAGAGGGATTTAGTCAGTGATTGGTGGCAAGAAGTTTTAGGTGCAGAACCAAAAAAGGTGCTGCGACAGAGTATCACTGGATAATGTTTTAAAGAATTTGGAGCAACTGAAAAAAACAAAAGGGATCAGATGTGAGTTTTTAGACATAGATTACACCAAAGACCAGTCAAAAACACACCCATTAGAATCTTATTGAGACTCTTATTTATTAGTAATCTATTACATTCCCCATCTAATTTGAATTCATTATATAGATGCACTGAGATTGCAACTTTCAACCGGAACTTTGCAAAATTGCTATCATTAAACTCCATTGCTACTCCTTCATTTTGCTTTAATTTTGCCTTTGTCTGATCAATAAGTCCATTGGTGCCGTGAACGGCAGAGATGGGAATGCAAGGCTGCAGCATGCATTGTAGGTTTCTGATTAAAATCATATGCATTAGAATATAGATGAGGGAACCAACTCTAAAGGGAAAAAAGAAAACATCCAAGACTCAACACAGCCAGATTTGAATTTCATTTAGAAGGTAGCAGCTGGCCAGGAGAGCTCAGATAAGCAGCTGAGCTGGATTCGACTCTCAGTAATGACCCCTTATTTCTGCTGTCCTTTTAGTGGAGTGTTATTCTTTGAAAATGATACCAAAGCTTATTGGAATAATGAATGACCTTACAGAGTTGACTGCAGGCCATTTATGAATGGCATACCGAAAAGAGACACTTGTATGAATAATGTCAATTCTAGAAACATCTCGGTAATAAAGCTCTGAAATGAGCTGGATGCTTTTTTCCCGAAGTAATCAGCCAATATGTTTTTTCTTAACTAAGTGTATGTTGCCTTAGCAGCACCGCTATGCAGGAGAAGCCCAGTTAGCAGCCAAAAGCAATGCGACATCTTCCCATGTGAGTTTTGGGCATTCTAGACCCGCGTCAAGACATGATGTAGTATCTCTGCCAAAAGTCTGGCCTTCTCAGATGTCAGCCAGTGCCCTGGATTCTTTCTGGCAATCACCTTCACAGATTTGGTGTTTGTTTGGAAGCTTCACCAGAAGGTGAAACAGATAGGCACCAGCATATCAAAAGGTTGACTGGTGTTTAATGTCTTCTGTACAGCAGGATCAGAGCCAATCAGAGCCAGCAGGGAAAAGTACAGATCCAAAGACACGAGCATAAATGACCTTTCAGCCACAAAAGGTGATGCTTTACTATGATGCTCTCATTTTATGTTGTTATATTGTGTGGGGATGTCACTGTCAGTGTGTAACCTCAATCATTTTACAGCCACAGACCACTGGCTGCTAATTTGAATTTTCCCCTCTACATTAGGTTGAATTAAAACAATTTTTTCCAAGCATATCAAGTAACAAGTCCAGCAACTGGAAATCCTTTATGAGACAAAAAAGGGAAACAAGCTCCTGATTGCATATTGATCACAAACTTAGCTGGAATATTATCAATGCAGTCAAGCCTTGCATCATGCTTTAACACCTTTTTATCTGCCATTACCAAAACTTGTGCACAAATATTATTTGTGATAATCAGTGTGTTTGTAGCCTCACAGAATGACATACATGTAACTTATGAAACATGTGCTCCATTACTCGATTCTCCCATTACTTATCACACAATATACAATATCACATACTCGGGATGGTCAGTTTTTATCAAAAGGACTTTGGTTCAAGTGAAATATTTCAGGTTTACTAAGTTTAATTTATTTACTGGAAACTTAATTAGAATTACCAAGTGCCTGACTTGTCTTGATTGTCTGGATTGAAAATTTAAAAAGATAATATGGGTGTATTATGGTTGTTTTTGCAGTGTGGATATTTTCCTGAATCCAAACAGTGACATCTACTGGATGTTGACATGAGTGATTTTCTTTTGCTTAAAGCCTTTCGACCATCTGTGGCATATCAAATCGAGAATCGAGCAAATACCTTATTTTCATTTTTTTTTTTTTTTAGCATAAACTTGGCAATTAATTTTCCGCCTTCCACTTCCCATTTTTCCTCGTTTTCTCATCTCAGTATATGGCCATTACCCTTTTGTTTAAAATGCAAAACTGTCTGTGGTGAGGTGCCACTGTTTAATGCCCCCTCATTTATCTCACACACACACTTATTTAGTTTATTAACAACCTTACGCTGAGCTCACGGGCTTTCTGTGGGAGTCACCCTGTGATGTTTCTTGGCTGTAGGAAAAAATAAAAGGAAGACCGGTCCAGCATCATGCTGAACCAACTCTGATTGAATGCTTTGTACAAAAGTGGGACAGTGTTTGCCTAAAGCAGAATGAGGCGGTCTTATAAAGGACAGTCAGTGGTTGAAATTCCCAAGAGGATAAACTCACACAGTTTCTGTGTCTTGTTAAACTAAATTGAAGGTGCCCTTTGGGGAAAAAAAGTCTGCTCAAGTTGCTGGACCATTCACACTTGTTCTCATGTGTGAATACAACAGCACATATCTGCACATCGGCCAAGGTTGTGCAGAAGAACACAAGCTCAGCAAATCCTTGCCTTGATAAAGGTTAATAAAATGGTTGTTCCTCAACCTTTGAGGGACATTTCAGCTGAGCGGCAAAATCCAAAGGCACATTAAGTTACAGCATTGATTATCTTAAATGTCACACAAAGTCTTGAATGAGAACACAATGAGGTCAGCAGGCACATTTAATTGTTTTAAGTTTGAAGCAAAGGTCAGATTTTTACTTTTTTTACATAAAGCCAATGAAATGATGACGACACACATGAATCTCAAAGGTTGCCTGAAGCCCAGCAGAGTACCAAGGAATAGTTTTTCCATCTCATGTTGGGTGCAGTTACGTTGCCAAAGCAGCTGGATTATCCTCATATTTGGAAGATTACAATCACAAGAAAATTCTGGGGGTTCAATTTATTTGTTTTGTGGCAAAAACACAAAAGTTTAGACAAATTTGCATTCTGTAGTGAAAACGTTTTCAATGTTCACCTTACCTTTTCCCAGGAGAATTTGACCTTTCACTTGGTACTGTTAGTATCACCTTAATCTTCACAAGCACTTAAATGCATGTCATTTTGAACTCTGGTGGCAGTGCTCTGGTGATTTTGCTTGTTTTTTAACACTGTGTTTATTCTGTCTTTCACCTGCAGATTGATAATCTCTGCCACTCATACAGAAGAAGTGATATTTATTCTACTCTTCTTTTCATTTTCCTGCTTAATCTGCCGATCAGATGGACTGTTCAGATACAAATACTGTTGGGCTATTCACTGTATGTCAGGTATGAGTGTTTTTATTTAGCTGGAGGGAGTGGATGTAGCAAAAGTCTATGGTTATAGCTCTTCATTGGTCTGGGTGGTCGAAGTTTTTTTGAGAAGGATGACGTGAAACATGTTTTGTTTTTGTTTAGTTTTTTTCTAAACGGTATCTGTAGGTGTGATTTTGTGTAGCTCAAAACGTTAAACCATCTGACTCAGAATCTCACACACTTTTAATATGCAGTTAGTATGGATCTGTGAACACTGTGAATTTTTTTTAATCAAACTAACACAAAACTTCCTCATGATTCTAACACAACTTTACTCCAGCCTTTCATGATAAAATAGTCCAGTTGTGCTAACTTTAGCACATCATCTGTACAGCAGGTTACAATCACACAAACACCGCAGTTATTTGCAGATGGTGACCTGCACATGGTCCTCTATTGTTTGCTCAACATGGCACTGAGTAGACTCTCTCTGCCCACTCACAGAACTGAACCGTGTGAACGGCACTCAAAGCTTCACTTAATGTTAGAGGATGGCAGCCTGGTGATGAACCCCCGCCGTCTTAAAACAATTACTCCTGGAAAATCAGGAAGACTCCTAATGTCCACAGGAAGTTCCCATGATAAACTAGACATGATAAACTTCCCCTTCCGCAGGAAATTCAGAAGCCAGGCTGAACATGAATAGTTGAGGTGTTCCCTGACTGAATGATTCTCAACATAGAGGGAAAAGTACAAATACTGCCACGTGTAGATACTGTTACAATTAGATGTGGAAAGAAAGAATGTCTCTGAATATGTCTCTGGCTGTATAAAGACTTAAATGACACCATGTATTTCAACCCCCTACTCTTTTAATGATCTTTCATTTCAATGCTCTCAAATATACATAAAAAACATTAAAACTAAAGTCAGAAGAAAAAAGTTTAGTCTCACAGACCTATCTGAAACAGCAGTGATGTCTGGCTTTTCTTAAAAGTACGCAGTGAGACAAAATAACCCCATAGTGGTCATTGTGTTTAAATTGAAACATTTAATTAAGCTACAGTGGAACATAGTTCAATGAGTTACCAACAAAACAAAGAAACAAAGAACAGTCAGTTTGTCCTTTATACTATTTAATGAAAGGGTTTGCAAATCTGATGACAATTAGAAATAAAACCAAATCCTAAATATTTACACTAAATTATGCCACTGTTACACATTACATCACATATTAGCCTAATTGAGTGCATGAGTACACATTTAACAGTGTTGATTTGATCAGTTTTGATGCCAAAGGTATTCTCCTGACAGTGTAAATGACTGAATCTCACTCTGGCTCTTGTCTCTCTTTAGTCAAATTGAGCTCCTTTTCAACTAAATTTCCGCCGTGGACAAAAGTGAAGAATGAGGTGCTATTGACATCATAATTGTGCTGCAAACCTGAGGACTGCCCCATGTGCATGCTATTTTATCAAAGTGAAGTGCAGTTGCAGGAGAAGTAGAAAACTGACATGTTAACACTGCATTTTGCCTATTATCTTAGATTGACTTGGGTTTACATTTTTAAAAACAAATTATATACCATGATCATGTGGTGACAGAACAAAACAAACAACACTTTTCCAGTATGAATGTAAATTGCACGAAAAATTAATTTGATTTTTGATGCTACAAAAATATCCATGAACAAAGTGTAACAATGTGCAAAAGCAAGGTATGGGTTTAAGGGAATCTTGCATTTAAAATAAGCAAACTTTTACCTCCTAATTTCCTTTGTCTCTTTTTAAAAATAGTTCTGCATTTAATACCATAGATATTTTTCTTAAGAGACAGCCACGACTACTTTGGTTCCTTTTTAATGCACAAGGTAAAAGATGAGGGAGCTGAGGGCTGCAATCAATCTACAAAATATACATCTGTTGTTCTGCTCTTCCCAGCAATCGTGATTGATTACAGCGTACATGTTCTTGTTTGTACACATTGCAAGTTTTTCAAAGAACTTTCAAAGTGCTCTTACTGAAAAAATTATATATATATATATATAAAGATAAATTAGAAATCAATTTGTGGCTTTGTTTACATCGAATATCCCCTCCTGAACCAAGTTGTGCTTGATACTTGGATTTTCTTTTTTGTCTAACACTAACTGTGGGTCCAAAATGGCTTACAGTTTTTGTAGTCTTCCATAAGAACTGTTTTCATTAAGCCTTTTAGTCTAAAGCAACATTTTACACCGTTATGTCTGTTTAAGGTAATCAACGCAAAGTGATAAAGAACTTTGTGATGCTTAAATTAATACTCCAGGCATCTCTCCCTTGAAGCTCCACTTGGCAACTCAACAATTTGATGAAATGCTAATTTTTCCTCTTTAGTGATGGTAAATGTATGACCAAGTTAGCAAAAGCATTGATATCTCTTCATTGTTTTGTAAAGTTGAATTTATTTTGGGTAATTGCAGAGGAGGAGGAATTTCCCCTCTGCCTACAAAAATGAACTCCAGGCCAGTGCTGCTTTAAATCTAGAAATTAATTCTCTCTGATTCTTGTTCTCTGTCACCCTCAATTTTCCGGTTCCAGTTGATCTAAATGGTCTGGGATGGGCAAACCAGTAAGAATAGTCAGACACTTGTTCCACACATTGAACACAGGACAAACCGGTTGGACAAAAGAGACGTGGAAGGTGTGAAGGTGCTGGGAGCCCACAGCGTCGTAGAAGGTCAGGTACCCGGCATCGTAGTCCAGCAGGACCCCCACGCGCCGCAGGTGGGGCGAAGGCTCAATGGCCAGCTCCTTGCTGTTATGGCGAACCACCCACGAGTTGTTGCAGCGGCAAAGCACCCAAGAGGCGGAGTTCTTGCCAATCCACTCGTGCTTCGGTGCTGACTTGTAGGCAATGCCAATAGCGTACCTGCGGAGAAGAATATCAGTCAGGTTTTATCGGAACATTTTCTCAGTTGACTCATTACCAGGAGAAAGATGTTCTCACCATGTACTGCCTCCAATGAGAGCCTCCCAGTAGTGGCGTCCACTATCGATGTAGACATTTCCCACCACTCCGTAGCTGCTCTGGCTGGAGAAGCGCTCTTGGCTGTGGCCTTTCTTCGATGTGGTTTCATCGCGCTCCACCGTGAGGTTGTCATGTGACACCTTCAGCTTCTTGTGGGCAGTTTTGGGGTCCAGCTTGAAAGGCTGACCTAGATGTAAAGCAGAATATTCTTAAAATGAAATGTCTCTTTTGCACACCCGCATAAATCATTTCTCAGTTCTCATTTCCTTACTGTTGGTCTTCAGAGTTCCTGGTTCACTGCTCCTGCTCCCTGCTTGGTTTATAGCCTTGACCACAAAAATATATTTTGTACCACTCTGCAGACCATGGACTGTGTAGTGGTTCTGCTTGATGTTTGGAACAATCATCCAACTTTCCAGTGAGTTACACAGACCTTGGTGGAGACAGAAAGTTTGTAAGTAATTTAGAATCATGTTTACTTTTAGCTGAGGGAAATGTCGACTTTCCCCAAGTACAACTTCTTCCAAATACACACAATTAAAATGTTAGCCCTGTTTATCCAAAAAGCATTGATGTACTGCTGTGGAACAGGACAGTTCTGTAAATTGAAAAAGCTGTGTGACAGTAGAAAGAGGTGAAAGGGTGTGAAAAAGCTCAAGAGGAACAATATACACGCTGTCGGGTTCTTTACAAGCAATATATTCTTCTGTTGTGTGTCTGCAGCCTCAGTTTGTGCTTTTGTTTGATGACTGTCTCTAATGGCAAATATATGCAAGTCGATGTACATTATACTGAATATCTTGAAGTTTTGGTTCGGCTGTATAATTCAAATTATAAATAGCCTCTCAGAGAAATTTATTACAGAACCAACATTTGATTTTCATTTTGGTTTGAAAGCAGCAAAGTCACTACAAAGCCAAAGGTAAAACTAGATAACTGCTTCCACCACTCTATAATAAAGCTAAAACTTGTTTTGTCAAGTTCTTTTTTATTTGCCAATTAATTAAAAAAGAATAAAAATGATTGTACCGTTCCATAAAAATTTAATTCAAACTGCAGATGAGAAAGGATTAAATGTATTTTCTGCTCATGCATTTTAAACATGAATCTTCTACACAAGGCTGTGCTAAATGGCATAAGGACTGGAGTTAAGGGTGTTATTTTTTTGTCATTGTTCTTGCATTAAGATTAAAAGACTTCCACTCCAGTGGGAGTCAATATGTCATTAATGGATACGATAATCAACACGAAAGAAAATATCACACACAGAGAAAGAGACACTAGTTTTACACCAATAGTGAAATAAAGCGTCACATTAATGTTATAAATGTCAGCTCTTAACATGGTTTAAAAAGGAAGTAATAAGAGTGCAACAACAAAAGATTAAATCTTGTAAAGAATAAAAAAAAATCAAGTAAAAAGTCCAAGCACAATAAAAGGAGAAGGAGACAACAATTAAGTTATTGTTAATTTGTGTAGAACTACTTTAGATTGAAAATAAGACTTTTTCAGAAAATGATAAGGCAGTTTGACTGAAAGGGGAGAGGATCTTTTTGAGAGAAGCATTGACCCCATTTTCTTCCTTGTAATTCTTGCTCACTCAAGTGTGCTGAAGATTTTCTGGGTCTTTTGTGTATTTGAGTAATGTTTACGTCTCCGTACTCTGTTGTTTTACTCGATATTGTGTCACAAAGTGTTTAAGATGTCATCTCACAGAAGGGAATCTCTCAATCCCTCAGTACCTGTTAAACTTGATGAAAAGACTCAACAAATCTTTAAAGTATAACCCAATGAGGATTCATTTGTCCTCTGTCATAAAGAATGGTTGATCACTCTAAAATATCTAATTTTCCTTCATAATTACTTTGTCCAAAAGCATTCATGATGATATCCCGATAATTTGAGAAAGCTCTATTGCTCTCAGACAAATTAATTTATTTTGTGTGTGTGTGTGTTTCATTGTGCCTGATATAGCTACTTTATTTGGCAGAGCAGAGGCCCTGTCAATGTTACATTCAGCAAATGCATGAACCAACTTTTGATGGTACATTCCTCTCATGTTGCAAACAAATATATTTTTTCTACAAACAAAAACTAAAAAACTACAGGGTTGTAAAGACACAATTGTCATCCAGATATACTTACTCGCAATGTTGGACTGTCCAGTGAAGATGGCATACTGTAGCTCATAGGACACAACTGTGAATTCATCATCAGACGTCCAGTGGACACTGATGGTGTCATAGGAGGCTGTGCACAACTCCTCCCTTATGCATGGAGCACTTGGAGCTGTGAGGAATGAAAACGAGACATTATCGTAGGCCATAATTCTATCTTCTCTTTGGTCAAAGTTGCAAATTGCATTAATTGAAAACCAAACTGATGACACACTTACAGGATGTCAGTTCTTACAAGAACGGCAGCCCTAATCAACATTGCTCCTGTTCATTTGACTCAATTTACGAGTTCACAAGCTTCATTAAAGTCAAGATTGAAAATGCTATTTCCAGTGCAGTGGTAGGTTGAAGATTAAAAGGAATGTAAGACATAGAAAATCAAGTATCAAAATGAAAAGGCAGATATTTTTGCCACGACAAGAATGCTTCATATCACAATCCCTTTACCTGCAAAAATGCACAATTACATAAGCAGGAACTTCAAATAGTAGCCTCTGTTACGCTCAGATATTGAGCGTCAAAGGAAAACTAATTTGTTATTGCGATATTTTTTGTGTGTGCTGAAAAATAAATAACATATTCCCCTTTGTATCCAATTGAAGAATAGACTGAGGTAAATAAATAGAGATACAACAGCCCAGCTTAAATTGATTGTAAAGCCACTTCCTATCTCTTTCTGTGTCTGTCATTTGTTTCCACTCTCGAGCCTTCTGTCATGAGTGGCTGCACATAGTGGAGTGATTCAGACTGATTCACTCAGTGAAAGGCCCTCCAGCCAAGCCTTCATGCATCGCAGAGAATAAATATGAGCCAGCCATTTTCACAGACCTTCAAAACCACTGCACATGATGCCTTATTCTTTCTCCCTGGTGTGCCCGTGATTTACTCTGTGACATTTAGATGAGTCCCAGCAAATGGGACAAAGGAAATTAATGTTGAAAATTAATTTTTCGAGTTAAAAGGCTGGGATCTGTGCTGTGCATGATGATGGAGACTTCAAAGGAATTAAAAAAAATAATTCAAGTTTAAAGAGTGAATCATTAATTAGCAGTCACACTTTGGATCCATGGCCTGTCAGGAGTTAAATCAAAGAACTAGCTATAAATGCACAGAATTGTGTGTGTGACTATAAACTTGCACCAGAAGAGGGTGAGCTGAAGTGACAGTCCTGTCCTTGTTTTTTCCCTTTGAACACAAGAATTCTGATCAAAGCTTTACCAGTGAGGTAATCCAGATTTTCCAGCAACTTCTTCTCTCTGGTGAAGTCCAGGGCAAAGGTGTCAAACGTGTCGGTGAGATGTATCTCAGGGATCAGAACTTGGGTCGAGGCAGTCGCCATGGAAACCCTTGTAGAAAGTTGTAAGTGTTACTGTCATGCAAACATTTATGCAATTTGGCTTCAGATCAAACATGGTGGGCTGACGATACACATTGATTGGATGCTGCTCTGTCTTTGGACATGGACCACTGACAACTTTTTGTAAACTCTGTATGGGCTAGGCTTCAGAAATCCCTCATGCAACAGTCAGTTACAATGGTGAATGTCACAGAGACATATTTTAATTGATTTGAGCATGTTTAATGAGAAGTCCAGGGCATGCTGGAGATAGTCAGATGTGTTTATACTCCAGTTAATTGGAGTGAAATATTTTGTGAATTAAACCTTTTTTAAGACCAAAGGATAAGGATTTGGTTTTATCGTACCCTCCTTTTTCAATGTACACATATTTGACAGGAGGCTCTATTTTCCTTGGAATTAAATTAGAAACTCTGATCTTGGTTACTTTCAAAAAGTCTCTCGACATATCTTTTAGCTCTTTCTCCCTCGAGCTTGACTTGTGTGTGCTTTGCTGAATAAACCCTGCATGTGTGGGCAGCATGTAGGCTTTCTGACCTCTCATTAATGCTTTTGGCTGTCTGCAGGAAGCGAGCGTGATCCGTTTCTTTCAGTGTCTGGTCAGCCTGTGTGATGAGGGCGGAGGACCTCTCGATGCACTGCTTGCAATTGGAAATCTGTTGGGCGAGCTTTCTAAGCCTTTGAGCCTGGAAACATTGACAAAGAGATTTCTCAGAACGCTTTTAAGAGGGGTCAAACAGTCAGGGCAATGGTGCACTAAAATAGCTTCGGCCAGTTTCAGGTGTTTCGGCTCAATGAAAATGAGAACAAAATCAGAGACAGGAAATGATCCGAAACCATGGGGTTTTATGGGTACATGAAGATGGGTACTGACATTTCGAAGTCACTGATACACAAAAAGGTCAAATCCAGGATTGACTGATGCTGGAAGTCATCCATTTCTTCACGTTTTCTCAATTGGTATCAATGAAAAAGAATGTAAATCATTGCAAACGGCAAGAGCACAGCTCCCAAAAACAAAAGTGACATGGTACTGGGAGCTGATTTGTTTTTATCTTTGTCTTGTCCTTTCAGAGTTAAGCTAAACAAAGCAACTATGGATGTGACTGCAGGACAAAACTTCATGTAATAACAGTTGTTTGCACAGAAATGGAGTAATCACAGACACATTTAGGCTTCCCATGTCACAGATTAACATAATTTTTCATTTGTGATCCTGCTACATGCAAATCTGCTATTTCACCTCCCCCTGTCTGCTACTCAGTTGTATTTCCTCTCCCTTTGAGCTAAGGTTTGAGAGGCAGAGTGAGGTCAGTGGTTAGACTGAGGTCATATGACATTTCCGGGTTGCAAAAAAATATAGTGACCTCCATTGAAAAATGAATTAGTAGAAAAGGCATATAATTTCATAGATTTTTTTTTCTCCTTCAATTGTAAAGACTTATCACCCCCCCAAAAAATCTCAAGTATTCCAAGTCTCATTAGATGCAGCTTAAGAATCGTCTGGGTTTATAGAATGAACAAACATCCCCTCCATATGTTCTGGGATCTACTTTTGGCCAGACTAACAGCTTTCCCTCGTCTGTTCACAACGCGCTGAAGGTCTGGATCTTGGGCATGAAACAGTTTGCCATCTGTTAGTTGTTATAAAGATCAAATCAATGCAGAATTGGATGTCTAAGTTATGTATGCTTGTTTGGAAAGAGAGGTTAGAAGATGGAGGATTAATCATATGAATCAAGAGGACAATAGATTTGTTTGTGAAATATTCATTTTCGGTGACATTTTCCACATTTGTAATAAAAACAGGAGCTGAACTGGTTAACTGTTAAACACGCGATAAACCGAATAATTCAACCTCTAACTGATAACTACGAGAACACATGTGTGAAAGAAAAACAGGCAAAGTTCAGCCAATGGGTGGCCAATTGGAAACAAATTAGTTAAAAGGAATTTACGATCTCCAGTTAAACACAAAACCTTTTATAGACCACTGGTATGTGCTGTCAGCCTTACATCTTACCTTCCCCTCCTTAATTTTGTTGCCAATGATCTGCCTCCTCTGCTGAATGATGTCAATCAGGAGATCACACTCCTCCAACAGCTTTCCCTCCTGGCGAGACGCATTCACCTGAGGAGCAGTTCACACACGCTATAGATCAACAAAGGGGCTGATGGAAGGGCCATTGAGTGATGTTTTGATGTGTTTCCACATCCCTAAAAGCAACAGGGTGTCATTTCTATCCATCTTCCTGTCTGGGAGTATAGACTTGAGGAAAACGAGGCAATATTTGTGTGGGGTGCGTGGTATGTGTGTGTGTGGTTTACTTTCGACCTCAACCAAGCTTGGAGAGAACCTCCACAACATGCTCAGTCCCTTCCTGACCAGCACAGATGTGATTATCTGAAAACATTTGGAGTAGAGTGATCTGCCTCTGGGAGGCATGCTGAGCAGAAAGCGTGTGCTCTGTCATGCAGCGGTGTTTCTGCATCTCTCTTTGTAGCTCTGCTGACATCATTCTGAAGCAGCTCACATACTTTTTCACTCTGGCATTTTGCATGCAAATTAGGTTTGATTTATTTTTCATTCTATGTAAGGACAGACTCTTATCTGAATATAAATCAAAGAGGCATTAACCGGGGCATCCATTTATTTGGAAGTCAGTCATGTTAGCATCCAGCAGTGTTTGCATATTTTACTGAACACGCTTTCCAACGGTATAATAAGGAGAGACGCAGATATATCCAGCATCTAATGACTGGGCAGAGTCCTCTGCAGCATATGATCAGTATGACAGATTATAGCCTGACAGCAGAATTAAGAGATTAGTTGAACCGTACTAAAATTATTCAAGACTGGAAGATAGATGTACATATGGGCCCAGAGGATAAAAATTCACAAAAAATAACTAGGAACCAAATCAGTTTTGCATCTGGAGAGCAAAACTGTTCTGAAAGAAGTCTTAAAATGAATTAACTGCAATGTTAGTTGAACAACATGTGACATTTTGCTATGTGTCAATTCTCTCATCTCAGGGGCACATGATCGTTCTGCTAAATATTATCACAAAGTTATCAGTCTGTCACAGCATTGTGGCAGAATTTTGGCTTGTGAACCAAAGAGTTCAAAGTGCCCTCCCGAAATGTCTCTGTAATGGTGTCCTGTTTTCAACATGCAAGCAGGGATCCAAATGTGGTTTTGGTAGGAGATTGTAACAACATGAAACATGTCAGCTGGATGAGCACACATGCTTAATGTAGTGGAGCAGCAGCGAGTCAGGGGAGCTTGATGTCAGCTTTGAGTCTTGTTGTTCGAACATGACCCAGCAACTTTTAGAATGGTTTAATGTGACATGAAATATTTAGAAATCACCTCAGCAGCACACAAACAGTGCACAGCAAATGCTGCTCATTTGTATTGGACACCGGGTGCATATAAGATTTATCCATGTATTTTTTATCATCATCATCCTTGTTTTTTGTTGGCTTTGACTTCCTTGTGGGAGTCTTTATGAAGATAAAGATTACATGCTACCAATGGATGACCAAGGGTTATTTTTATAGTTTTTAGTGTTGCTTTGTGTCACAATGCCTGAGTGTGAAAAAGTAGGTCAAGCTTTTTTTTCTCTGTTTTTAAATCCTTTCCCGAACATCACTTATTCATCCCTGATTTTTTAAAGTGGTTATATTTTTATTTATTTGATCTTTTGTGACAGTAGAAAAAGGCATTTTTTGTCAGTTTTACTTTAGTTTAAAATGTTCCCTCAGCTTTGCTCATAGAAAACACAAACATGTCCATATGATACATGTTCAGAGCATTTTCAGCTCAAACAAACACTAAATCTTCTCAAGACCTTGCAATCCTCTTTTCCCTGTACTTTTAAATGCCTCCACAGGCAAATAAACTATTCTCCGTAATTTCTAATCTGAGATGTCACTGCTTTTAAACCCTGTGGCATTACTTTATATAAACCATCTTAGTCGGGCAACATAACATGAGCAGGCAGACTTGGCACAGAGATTCACTCGGAGTAAAACCGGGCTAAAAACATGCACACAGTCAGTTCAAATTCCTTCAGAAATTATGGATATTTTTAAACCTCCCTTGTAGTTTATTGCATTGCATTTGATTATATTCACAAGCAAAATTAGATAAGTTAAATTGCAAGTGTTGATGTCTTCTTTAGGTCACAAGATATGAAAATAACCAGAGCTCCGCAGCAAAAGTTGGTTAACAAAACATCACCCACCAAAATAAGGAATTAGAGCTGCCGACCTGTCATTCCTCCCAATACAAGTTAGATATCAAATGTGGCACAATCACAAGGAAATGATCAATTAAATGATCAGGCTTGATGAATGAAATAATAAAAAGGGTTAGCAAATTCCACAAATTGCCTGGGGTCACAGGAGACCCCCCGGGTCCACTGAGACTCACCTCCACATGCTGGCACGTCTGAATCAGTTTCCCCATCAATGACTCCAGCTCGTTGTTTCTCTTGATCAGATTACTTAGGTTGGAGTCCAGGGCTTGCTGTGGCAGACACAGAAAATAAACAATCCAAAGTAAAACACATTCAAAAGAACAGAAGCAAAGTGAAAGTAATTACAGCGTCTGGGATGAAGAGAGGATAAAAATTCACTTTGTTTCAACTTTCCAGTAGTTTTCTATTCTTCTTTTTTCATAAAAGCAAGCATTGGGCACCAGAAAACCAGAGAAAAAGAGCAACACCCGGTCAACTGTTCAGAGTAGATTCACCAAAGAACACAAACTAAAGATAAACCCTGTTTTCTCTCAAACTCTTCTTTCAAACAAGCCTTTGCAAATAGTGCAGGTAGGTCGAGCGACCACATACCTCTGACCGAGGGCAGTACCCCTCATCCCTGTACTGTCTCCTCATCCTGCCTTCGTCTGAGCCTCAGACAGTAGATCCTTCTGGAGCAGAGACTGTGACTGGGACAGCCACTCTGCTGAGCTCCTGGCCATGCGCAAGCCCAGCCAAGCGACAAATCAGGCATCAAAAGCTCTCCCTATGAGAGCGCACAGTAGCTCAGGGCAAACCAACCGGCAAACAGGTGACAGCACGTCAGCGCCGTCCCATAGCGCTCCTCCTCCTCTTTCCCCTCTTTCATTCCCCCCTTTTTTATGTTTTTTGCCCCTTTTCAAAAGACCGGGCACAGCCTTTTTCCTCTTCTTTCATGTTTGACATCAGTGCCAAACCAAGCGTGATGACGATTTTCTGATATTTCAGGTTAATAACAAATAGTTTAGGCTTAAATTTAGTCAACAGTTTTTTCCATAGATTTTTTTGTTTAAAGATTTTTTTACAACAACAAGTTTCAGACACTTTTAAACAGTGCTGCAAACAAGCCAGATCCGATATTGTGCATAGGAATAAAAGGCTATACCTAGAGGGAATATTGAAAAAACAGGAGCAGTAAACATGAAGAGACATGGTGGAGTTTGTCTGTTGTGGTGGTCATAGGGGCTTAATGGATGACCTTAATACGTACATGACACACAAATGCAGCATAAAGGTCTGCTTCACTATGAATGTGACTGTTGTAGCTTTTAATCTCAGCAGGCATGAAGATAAAATTAACATTTTGCATATCAAAAGCAACAATCACAATAACAAAGTGATTTGCAAAGATATATTTCTACAGAATTACAGTGATCTTTAATACAAACAGCTGGTGGAATACACTGCAAAATGCACACAACAGTCAACAGATAAAGGCGAGGAAACCTTCTGTGAAGGTTTATTTGTGGTCAGATTTGGAAATGGTTAACACGCAGCTGCAGTGTCTATGTTGCCAGTTACTATTTATCTGTTGGAGCTCAACAGCCTGCATGCTCCTTCCATTTGATCAACTGCCAATCACCCTGTTGGTTTATCTGCACAGTTTGATTCTCTTTATCTGACTACATTCTGGTTTTGCTATTGAAAATTTAAATAAAAAATATCTTTGTCCAGTTGATCTCTGATCAGCTATTCCATCTTCATATAATGAGGTTTAAAAGCAGATTACAAATATGTAAAAAAAACTGTACCAAAAGATGAAAACAGATTAAATATGTCTGGATGTAACTTCTTAAAGTCAAAGTAGTTCTGGATCATGGTGATTTGGCTGTTTGGGATTAGCGGGTTTAGCATACAACATGACTTGGTGAATGATCTGACTATGGGCAAAGTTACTGTAGATTTTAAAACTCCATCCTCCTACAGGAGCTTCTAAAATACACGTATGATGTATAAACTGGTACTGTGCAGAGACTGCTCCGGAGCAGATTATGAAAAGAAAAATATTGCACAAGATGCTGCAAGGATACCCTGAAAGTCAACACATCACAATCTAATAGCTCATCTGGGCTATGTCCTCACACAAACAATCTGCACCCCCAAGGCCTTTAACAACCTGCTCCAAACCAACAACAGGCCAACGGTCCATGAGTCAAAGGTCAGAGCCCCTTTGGTAGGGAGAAAGGCGGGACTTCTCAACACTGGAAAGTTGGTCACGATAATCTCATGAAGCAGCTCCTTTTTTGAGAAAAAAGTAATGTCCCCCAGAAACAGATCAGATCATCTTATTTTTCTACTGTAAATATGTTATTTCAACAACATCTGCTCATTATCAGTGGGTAGTTTAGAAAACTCACCATACATTGCGCATCTTAAAAGAGCTACATGGCCCCATTTACTTCAGTCGTATCACTTTTTACATGGAATCTTAACATTCTCTATCATTTTTGAGAAAATCATTCTCCTCTGATGTTAATGACTGTTCATTTATGCTGCAATGGCATTGGATGTGTGCTGTGAGTGTGTGTGTGTGTGTGTGCATGTGTGTGGCTGAGACACGGGAAGGAGCAAAGCAATGGGAGCTCTGAATACTAAAGAATAGAAAGTGATGAGTTCTACACAATGTATAAAAATGTCATGAATCTGTGTCATTAAGAGAGGACTTGGGGATGGGCAATCTGTTGTCTGTTTTTAGGGTGTCAAACATCATAGTTCTGTCATGGAAACTACTTTAGAAAAAACTAAATTTTTATTTGATGGCCTTTGGTTTGCGTCCTTGTTTGGTTTGAATTTAAGCACCTGTCTGGTTTGGATTGGACTTACCTGGTGGGAGTGAGAAAAAGGAAGAGTTTATGGTTTAAAATGCTATTCTTTATGACTGTGGTCTGAAAAGTATTGCATTGAAGTGCACCATGTTACACGAGGGAGACATCACATGGTGCACAGATGTCTATGTATTGACATTACATTATGAGGGCCTAAAAAAAAGTCTCGAACCAAGAAAGGGCTAGCATTATTACAAAAAATTATCATCCAACTTTGGAGTTGTTAAGCTTTACAATATGATTTGTCAATATTCAATATTCAATAATAACACCGGTCTTGGCACGTAAAAAAAAGTGCCACTCCTTTTTATCATCCAGGTTGTTTCCCCTACACCCTGAGCCAAGGAATTTTCAAAACTATTCCCAACTGCCTCTTCCGTCAATATCCTGTTACTGGGGTCATTTTATCTCTGATAAAGGATGGGCTTTCCCACAATAACCTCCCTGGCTCTTATCAGAAACACCACCACTGTCACTGAAATGGAAGCTGTCCAATCATCTGTGCAAAAACTGGTAAGCAGGAAAAAATAATAATGAATAAATGAAACCAAGAACCTCCAGTTTATAGCTGTTAGACTCCAAAATAACGGATTTACCAAAATGATAAGAAATGTGGTTAGCAGCACAAAAACCATTGTGATTTATTAAGCTGCATGTGTTGCCAGGTTGTGCCCCAAATTTGCCGGGGTCATGTTGGGGTTAAAGGGTCTAAATCCCGTGCTTTGTGATGAGACATGTGTCAGCTGGCGGGCTTAAGGGCCCAAGCATTTGGTCCAAGCCATTTTAATTTTCTGCTGTAAAAGCCGAGAGTGTTTACTTATCATAGTGCAGAGGGAAGATGGAGTTATTGTGCTTTTAAGACCAGGCATCTATATCTAGATAAGCATATGTGTAAGTGTGTATGAAAGGCTAAGAGGCCGTGCTTGAAAGTTCGTGAAGCAGTCGTATGTAAAAAAGCAGCCTTTTTTGTGGATCTTTTGTGATTTTCTTTTTTTCTCAGAGGCCATGACAAACACTGACACAGACACGCTCAATCAAACACACCTGCAGCCTGCAGGAAACTGGCGCTCCAAAAGCTGCAACCCCACCAACGACATCAGGCCCTGTCATATTCACTGTGCGCACACCTCTGTACCCTCCTGGCTCACTGGCATGGTGCAGTGATTACGCTAATTGCTTAATTATTCAGGAGAGATATTAAGTCAGTATGAAATAATGAAATCTCTCCTGATAATCATTTCAGATATGTTGGTAAGGATAATAGGAAATTTCATCCTTCAGAGAAGAATCAAATTAAAGTTTAAAATCCATTATATGTGCGAGATAAGGAATGTTGGAAGGTTTATCTCCTTATCTGTAATCAGACTGGAGTCAAGTCTCTCGGGAAACAGCATTAGGGTTTTTAATAAGATCACCATATAGATCTGACAGATTTACAACATTTCCCGTTTAATTGCTTTAAACTGAAGTTAATTTTATGAAAATAAAATTCATGGGCTGCGGTGCTTACCTTAAGTTTTTCATAGCGGTCACTCAGTGCTGCCACTTGGTGGTCCCTGTGTCTCCCAACCAGTTTACACAGCGAGCAAATCAACTGATCGTCACTGACACAGTACATGTTGACCTTCTCCTCCTCGTGCTCCAGGCACTGGAGCCCTCTGAGGTGGGAGTCAGGCATTGGCTCAATGAGCCGGTGCCCGGTGAACGGCTTCTTGTTGGGGTGCGTGGCTTTGAGGCACTCCTCGCAGTACGACACCTCGCACGTCACGCACGTCTTAACGGCGTCCTGCGGCGGGTCCTGCTCACAGAACTGGCACTGGACCGGCTCCGGAGGGCTGTCGGGACTGGACATGGCGGCGCTGAGGGGGACCAGGGCCAGCCGGTTGATGCCTTCCTCTCCGGGAGAGTTCGGCCCGCTGTGTGGGGCGGGCAGCGGCAGAGGGAGTCCGGCCGAGGACGAGGCCTGCTGGACCCGATCGATGATGTTCTGTAAGGTCACGTTTCTCTTAAGTCCTTCTAGTCCACGCTCCGGACTCAGGGAAATGACATATCTACAAGTGGGGCACTGGAAAGCGCTGATGCTCTGAACGGACTCGTTGGTGGCGCAGTGGGAAACCAGAATACGGTGGGCACAGCCAAAGCACAGGCTGTGTGCACAGGGGAGAAGCAGCGGGTCTTCAAAGAGCTCCAGGCAGATTGGGCAGGTCAGCTCTGACTCCAGAGTGTCCATCCTGCTCAGAAGAACCCAGGCGGGACCAGGCGCAGTGTCAGCGAAATCCAGAAGAGCCGCTCAGCTGTCTGGAAGCAGGAGACAGAAGGATGGAAGAAGCAACACAGAGGAAATTATTAAATGGTGCGAATTCAAAGGCTTAATTCAAAATCTTCTAATGCAAAGAGTCCTTGGCATAATTCTCCATTTACAATGAAGTAGACAATACTTCTGACCCATTTCTGACCTGTGGAGATAACTTAATGTCACCGACTGTGCAGCTGCAGGCACTTCAGCTTTTGATTGTGCTTTGATTGATAAGATTGCCATCTCTACAGCAGACTCAAGACTTTGTGCGGCCATGAGATTAAAGCTTCAAGAAAGAGTTTGTCAGGATGTGGTTTAAACTGAGTTGCCACAAGCCTGAAAAAGTAACTCCACTCTCCTCACTAACTCACAGTAATTGACTTGCAATAGCAGCAGCAGCAGGTGATCATTTTTATGTGCTGTCTGGGCTGTTGGAGCCCTCTGACATTCAGTTCTACAACATAACTAACTGCAGAAGATGACTTTAAAGTACTTGAGAATTTGCGGCTTGGGGTTTGAGCTTAATTTCAAATATTTTCAAGATGCCTGAAATTTAGTCGTTTTTATGCATTAACATTTAAATGGAGATGAGAGTTATATTTGGATGTGTTCTGCAGCGATGACAGATGCAGCTGTAGTCAGGATGTAATTAGTGCACATGTCAACTTATTCCTCCTGCGGTGAGGCTGACTTTTTTTCCTATCTGAGCATTCGTTCTGGCTCTGGAGATTCAGTGATTCCGTGCATGCTGAAAAGTGCATGTTAATGTTTTTATTAAAGCATGAGCTGAACAGGCGCACTCATCCTGAGAGCACTCTGGTTATTTATTACTTACAAACCAACTCTGAAAACAAATGTTCAGCTTTTAAGTGTCCCTTGTGCTATTGAAGATTTAACATTTAAATACATTGAATACATTGAAACTAAAATGTTCCCTTATTAGAATTGTTTCCTAAAAGTTTGAATAAATTATTCTGAAATTACAGGCCAACCGGTACAAAGAAGCAGTAGGTGGTGACATATTTTGAGGTCTTTCAAAAAGTGGATTGCTTCAGATTTGACGATTTTAGTAGAATTTAATCACATCACTTCAGTAAACGCAATGAATCCATTAAATCCAGCATAACAGGGCTGAGCAGTATAAGGGCTGTCAGAGCACTGTGGAGGACAAGATGAGGAAAAACTGTCCTGGTACTTTTATAGAGGTGAGGTTCGAGCAGAGGAATAACAGCTCCTGCACATGTATAAAGACTGAATCAGTTAAGTGTTGAACGCAAAACATAAAAAATGATAATGTATCCTGCATAAATCAGATACATTCTAATAGGCAGGAAAGGAAATCCACTCTTATCTTCAGTGAGTGGTATTTTCAGCAGATGTCACTGTTGACTGAGATTGAAGCTGGTTTGCTTCTGTGTAGACGGCTGCACTCAGTATCTGTTCATCATCCATCAGCCTCTGTGCACCGCTTCCTCTCACCCTCAAAGCAAACAAGTGTGGCGTATAAACTCCTTACTGTCGCTCTCTGCAGTGTAAGCACTTTTGGCACATGTGGTATTTTAGGTCAGATAACAGTAATTTGTGCTGATGAACTGCAGATATGGGATTAGACGGAAAAGCAGGTGAATGAAGAATGCTTTTAGATTGTTCTGCCAAAACGGAGAGAAAATCCTGAGAAAATCCTGAGATCAACTTGGATGTATTATCTTAGAAAGAAAATATTTAAACACAGTTTTTTTAAAACCAGGCAAATATTGAGAAAAATTAGGAACAAATTTGGAGAATACAGAGAGGACGGGTTGATGTGGAATTTTTTTAGATCTGACTAAATGCAGTTCATCAGGACAAAAAATGATTTAATTGAGTGTTGAAAACACTCATTCTTTTACATACATCTTTCTATGTTCATGTACATCAGAGTACTTGTATTCCCACAAATGCTCAGAGAAGTTTGACTGAAGCCCCCTGAGGTGTTATTTTACCATAGAAACGCATCCAGTTTACAGTAAGTTAAGAAGTAAAGTAAATCAAAGAGGGTTATGTATCATCAGGTCTGTTGGTGGACTCGGCTTTTCAGGACAACAGCAGGGCCAGGTTGAGCATGAAATTGAATTCCTGTCACTGAGTTTTCTCTGGTTTCTTTTAGAGGATGAAGAGCATCGTGTGCATTGCAATTGTTTACATAACAATTTCTTCCACAACTAAATTAGCAGGAAAAACAGTAATAGAGGGGTAAAACTCACAACTGTTCTGAGGACCAACATGAATAGAATGTATTTCCCAGTAAATATTCTATAGCTTCTCAACGTCTTTGTAACAAGGCGGAGAAGTAAAAACAGTTACACAACCAGAATTATTGCTTTTTTATATCAACATTCCACAGCATACTAACTTAAATAAGCAGTTTTACCCAGGTGTAATCCTAAATGCGCTGAGACTTAATCTTTATTCCAATTTAAAAATTGAATTCCTTTTTAATCCAAATCCCCATCCACATTAAGAGGAGGTGGTAACAATAATCAGAATTAAAGTAGCCATGAGCTTATTAACACAGATAGAAATGTGGGTTGTTCACGTAATCCAAAGAGAACACAGCAATCAACCCTGTTACACTGCGCTTTCAGGGCCATATTTCTGCATTCAGATCCAGCATTCTGCTGACAACAAAATAACAAACACAGCATATGGCGTTAAATAAGGTTGAAGGAAAGAGAGAGGAAAAAAGAAAACCTGACAACTAGGAAAGTTCCCCTGTGATGGAATTCTGGTTCACATTGAATTAATCAGATAGCTCCAAAGTACATAAACCAATTCATTTCAGTCAAAGTCACACCAGCCACTTTTTGCCTGCATCAACACTCAGCAAAGACCAAAAACACAAGAACAGATAAGGTTGGGTGAAATGCCTCTAAGCACACCATAGGTGACACTGTTGAACCACACAATAAGCTTTAAGTGCAGAGAGCATAAAATACTGAAGTTTGCCGCCAAAACAGGGGTTGAATACTGAGGCAGGAAGAAGACGGAGATGGAATGGAAATGAGGAAAAAGTAAAAAGGCCATTCACAGTGGAAGTAGAATTTTGTCAAGTCGATGTTTATTTTTCCCACCATCACTTTGTGCGTCACGACTGTGGGAGCTGCTGCTGTGTGTGGAAGCCTACTGCCGTGCTGGCAATTGTGAAATGTCAGTACCAATGGTCTTCAGTGGGGGGCAATACAAGGCTGAATGAGCCTCCTCCTTCTCCTCCTTTGCTCTGCTGCTTCTGCATGTTTGTAAAATTGATAAAACTGTAATCATTTCTCTTGTGAGATGTTCAGGATATTTTCATCCTGAAATCACAACCTGATACATTACGTATGATATAGCATGCACATTGTAAATGATAAATGAGGCATCAGTGTTATTCCTGTAATCCTCAATTATAATTTCTCTTACACTAAAACACATAACCTCCCCCAAATCCCCTTTGTTTAAGATACTGGTAATGCTCTGAAGCTTGGTCAACTTCCAATTAACTAACTACTTTAATGAAGAGATATTTATAACTTAATTTACAAGCCTAAAAATTGTGAAATATTTGGAGGGAAAGTGTTAAATATGAAAACTTTACGCCAATTTTCCGTTGAGATTGGTGTGCAATTTTACAACAGAACTTAATATTTCAATTCAACGTCTGATTCAGTCTAAACCCTGATGAACTTTTCCACAAAGTACTACACTGCTTTAAGGAGGCGGTGGCAGTAATGATTCTCATTTAAAAAGAAGGAAACCGACAACAACACAGACACAGACAACAATGTCTTCCGTTTTTTTGACAAAACTTTGTGCAAGGCCTCTGATCTGTAAATGTCAGATATTCCAATAGTCAATTTACTGTCAAATAAACTCTGTTTCATTATTTTGTAGAAAACAAATATATGTACTTCCGAAATTAAACATGTCTGTGTTTACATATGGAGGTTGTCTTTTCCATAACACTGAGGCCTTCTTCTAAATCTTTAATTATCTTCGGAACCATGAAGATAGCAGCTTTCCCTACCACTTATAGTTTACTCTGCTAAAATTTTCATAGGTACCCTTTCTGTCCATTTTCTAAAAACTGATTCGACAAGAGCATAACGTGGACAAAAACAGGGCTAGCCAGCCTGTAAATGATGTGTGGCATTGTTCTGCAGTATGTATGATACACAAAGCCGCTCCATGATGCCGCTGTACTACGACTGTATAATTAACTGGATCTAACCATGACTCAGCCATTTATTCATGCTAGAAATTGCTCACTTTTGAATGATTTGTCCTCGCTCAACTTTTAATTTCATTAAAACTTTACAGGAAAATTCACTTTAACTAGCCTGATAGATTGAGAGAAACGATGCACTTCTCCGTGCCAGTACGGCATGCCGAATCACTTTAAGTAAATGACATAAAACCACTCCTCAGTCATTACGGTAAATCATCCAAAAGCGGCGGAACCCTTAAAAAAACACATTTGGATGCACTGGTCCATTTGGTGATTTGATGAGAGAGACTGTGGCAGCCTACGATGCAGAGCCAAGAAGTAGGTCATCCCCATTGACCCGGCTCACATAATCAGCATACACTGTGTGTGTCACTTTATGATCTTGCTGTTCCAATTCTCCCTTAACTCGCAGGAGGCAGAAAATAGCAAACGGGCTGAAATGTTAGAACCAAGCGAAAGAGGGCAAACATCTGAGACTGAGTGCAAACATTATATTTGCCTGTCAAGGCTTATAATGTCACATCCGAGAACCAACTAAGCCATATCTGCTCAGAATTCAAAGTGAAATCTTTATTCATTACCATAAGATATACAGAATTTGTTTTTGATCATGACTCATTTTAAAAAGTACAAACCCTTGGATATCACCAACCTCTGGAATTAGGACAGTGATAGAAGCAGTGTTCAATTATTCACATTTTTGTAAAGAACTGAATCATTTACAGCTTTATGTGATCACTGAGCGAGCTTCCCCTATTTTT